ACTTGCAGATGCAATAAAATTGAATATAAACTGCTTTATTCCCTTGGAAACGCATTAAAATATAATATGGCAGAAGAATGCTGTTTACCCTGACTTAACAGTCTTGTTATCCCGCCAAGCTACCTTTGCACTCTCAGCGTTTCCGTTTGGTCGCGTTTTCAAAACGCCAGCAATTCCTGCTCATTTCCCAGCTTTTTTCCGCAGCTCTTCTCTATCTTTTGTGCCTTGCTGCTGGTGCTGGGCATAATTAGCCGAAAGTGCTACAAGTGCATCGGCAAAGTGCTCCGGTAAAGTACAGACGACCATGACAAGCAAACTGCGGCCAGAAATGGAGCGATCTGGGTCCGGTAAATCGGCTCCATCCTCTGTTTTTTCGCCTCTGTTTTTGGCTCTGCTGTTGCTGGTTGCTGCTGGTTGCTGCTGTTGCGTGTTTGACAATGTCCCCAGTGCGTTGTTAAGCTAATTTGCTTCATTTGTCTAGAAAACTGACACAGAGGGGCAGTAGTTGGGGGCTAGACATGGGCGGCAAAGTGTTGACATGAGGCCATGTTCTCGGCCTAAACGACCAGGCTCCAGCTACTATATCGCTCCTGCTTCTCTGGCCAGGGCCAATATTATCGTGCCCGGTCAGTGCAGCACGAAAGTCAAGTCAAGCGGCTGAAGGACCAAGAATGCCTTCGTCCTTCGTCCTTGGTCCGTGGTCCTTGGTCCTTCCACCTCCATCTACATCAACATCGCCCCAGCCAAACCAATAAGCCCACTGCCTCGGAAAATATTTGTGCACAGTGGGTTGGTTCTATCAAATAGATTGATAGGTCCAAGGCAAATTATGGGAAGTAACAATTTTTATAAAGTAATTCAAAAAGCTAGTGAATTCGGTTTAAAGTTGGTTTTAATCTCAAAACTTTTGAGGTTGTTTATTATGGGTAGTAACACTTTTATAAATTAATTCAAAAACTTTACAGTTTCTGTTTCATTTGTTATATGTTTTATAATTATTTTTTATATTTGCTCACTGGTAACATACTTATTTTTAAGTAAATGTATATCTAAATTTATTCTTATAAAAATAAATCCCTTTTCGATCCGATAATCCCACTGTGCAGCGCAGCTTATTGACTGGTCTTGTGTGGTATGAGAGAGGTTGATGAGGCAGTAGGACCCACTGTACTGGCTGGCCGGGCAAAGTTTCACCAGCTGGCGTCGCGCCGGTCTCTTTGACTCCGTTGCCTGCTGTGGGGTTAAGGGATGGTGGAGGGGTGGGGAAAAGGAGGGGAAGGGGGTTAGGGACTAAGGACCACGGGTTGTGGACAGGACTATACAGACTAGGCTCTCCGGTCTGTGGAATCCATGCAGTGAAAACATGTGTAATTGATCTGATTAAGTTGCCTTTGCTCTGCGTGCCTCTGTCTGTATCTGTGTGTGTGTGTGTGTGTGTGTGTGTGTGTGTGTGTGTGTGTGTGTGTGTGTGTTGGCCATTCTGTTCTAGACATGTGTGTGTGTGTGTGTGTGTGTGTGGGCCAAGAAATATGCCAGCTCCTCTGGCTTTGTCCAAACAAACACTAGAATGAGGGAATGGGAAATGGAGATTGGAGATTGGAGAATGGGGACTCCCCTTAACACCGCTTAGGCTTTTGGCTCTTTGCGTTTTGGCCAGCTTGTTGTCCGGCTATTTGCTGGTACTTACACTATTTCCTCTCCTTGTTGTTGTTCCTATTTTTGTTGCTATTGTTGTATTGTTGTCTTTATCCCTGTATCGTATTTGTTGTGCCTGAACTTGCATTTATTTGCTTTGCCACAGGCCTTGGCTGTTTAATGAAACGGAAATATAACATTTTAGTTTGCGGTCAAATATTGTATAATATTTTCCCCCTCCTCCTCGTCTTGTTGTTACGCATTTGCCACTAAGCACACAACAACAAGAAAAAGAGGGCGTTGTTTATTGCCTTTATGATTAAATTTCATAGATATTAGGCCGAAGGTGTGAAGGCATAAGAAGATGAGCAGACTAATGGTTAATTTAATTTATACTTTGTGGCACGGGAAGGCCTTTCAATTGATCTATTTACTAATCTTATTTTAAGGTCCAGTTGAGCAGAATTTATTGGCCAACTAATCTTCTAATTTTTTCTTTAATTTAACAATAAATTAATTTGTGGTAGGAAAAGGATAACATTTTATAAAAAAACTAATTCCCTAATTTCTTCTTTAATTGAACAATAAATAACCATGTTGTGAGAAAAGAATTACAACACAAATAGTCTGTCCCCATTTTGATAGTTTAAAAATTATTTTTTGTGTTTACATTTTTAATCACATACACAAGTGCGCCATATGCTGTTCAAATGGCAAAGCTCCTCGGCTAAATCAGTTGTTCAGTTTGCTCATGCAGTTAACGCCTAGAATTCACTCCTATTTTTGGGATTTTAAGAAAATATAAACTTTTTTGTGTGAATGATCACAGTTTATACTCGGACTGTGACCAGTCCTTGTAAAGGAAAAAAGAAGGGGGAAAAAGATAAGGACTTCCCCATCTTCAGTTTGCCATGGTCTCGTCAAAATTTCATCTGCATCTGCATTCCTAAAATATACTTAAGTATATGTACATATATGCAGGGACAGTGCGTTTCGCAACTGCTAAATATTTGTGCCTTTGTTTTACAATAATATGGCATTTTTTTTCCTATTGGTAAATTTTCTTTACATATTATCTTTTTTTTAGTTTTCGAGGTCTTAAATCCCATAATTTATACATAAGCCTCCAAATAGTTTTAACTCTTTAATAATCTGCATTTATATAGTAAAAAATATGTTATGTTAATTTTGTATATAATTTTTTATAAATAAATACTTATTTAATATTAAAAAAAGAAACGAATGGCTTATTGTATTAATTTTAAAAATTTAATTGTAATTAATTCCTCTTATTAATTTTAAGTTTTATACAATTTTATGTCTTGAATAATCTGCATAAATATTGTAAAAAATAGCTGTTAAATTTGTTTGGTATTTTTAAATTCAATTCATTTATTTCAAATTTAAAAATAAAGAGATATGAAGAACTTAAGAACAGTTTTCAATGTCATAAAAATATAAATTGTATATAAAATCCTTTTGTCTAGTTAGTTAGTTTGCTGTATGTTTAGTTTCGAAACGCACCTTACTTGCCGAGTTCTTCATTTTTGATAGAAACTTCTGCTTTGCATTAGTTGCATTGCCATTTTGCCCCGCCCACTTTGCCGCCCACTTTGCGCAGCTCTGGCAATTGCAACTTCACCAAACACTCGGGGAAAAGGAACTTTGGGAAATTTTAATTTAATTTAATTTTTATTTGCCTTGCTGGGCACACATTAAAATTGCAGCATGTAGTTTTTTAATATTTAAATGCACGCCTCACCGCCCATCATTTCAGACCGGCTCCTTTCTCATTTCACCAGCCATTCTCCTTTGGACCGTGCAATTTCCAGAGCAAAAATAAGAGTTAAAAGTCGGCACAGGACATGTGGCAAGTCCTAAGGGAGAAGGGGAGAAGGGGGTGGGGATACACTACTATTAACTGGCCAGCGCCTTCCACCACGCCCACATGCCCATCAGTATGCTCTCTCTGCTATTATTATTATTATTATTATTATTTTCACTATTGTCTGCAGCATTTCCTTCCGTTCGGTGCGTCTGGTTTGGTCTGGTCAACCAGCGAATGCACTCACATCTACAGGCCCTCCCTCACACACACACTAACACTCACAGACACACACACACACACTCACACACACTGAGAATCACACACAGAGGCGGAGAAACAAACATATCCCAGACCCAAATCCCACCGAAAATCCATGTACACATGGAACACAAGCATACAAACAATTGCAGGGGATGTTTAAAAAGTAAGTTTTAGTACAAAAAAGGAAGTTTTAGTACAAAAAATTCCCAGAGATTGCCAAAACTTAAAAATATTACAATAGAGTTATAATTTTAATAAACTATACTAACCAAAATAAGAACACAAAAAAAAAAGACTGAAAGTTTAGTTAGTGTCTTGAAAATAAAGTACAGACATTACAAAAGTATAGGTATTAATTCAATAGTAAAATATATAGCTCCCATACTTTTTAGTATCATTAGTCTTAGCCCTTATTTTTAAATTACATAATTATTTTTAAACAAATAATAACAGAACTTACATCCTTATTTTTAAAGTTTTAAAAAGATCATTTGTTATGAAGAAGCAAACTACAAGCACAATGAATATAATAAAAGGCCTTATTTATTGTATACAGTAACGAATAATGAAAAAAATCGTACATCCTTGATTATTTTTCCAGTTTTATCGATAACATTTGTTATAAAGAAGCTTTCTCGATAACCAATAAACGCTATGTGCAACCCTCGCTTCGAGCATTTGCTTTAGGATTCGTTTTGTGGTGTCGACTCCTTCCTTCCCCTTTCTACTTTCTCCGCTCCCTCTCTCTCTCTCTCACTCTTTGGGCTGTTCTTCATCTGTAGGCGTTTTGTTGTCGACATGAAACAAAAGTGCAAATGCATATATATGTTATGTGTGGTTGTGTTCGTGTGAGGAGAAAGTGGGGGAAGTGAAGATTCCTGGCCCTTTTGGTGTCTTGGCTAAAAGCAAAATATTTGCCAGTTTTGTTGCCTGATTTTCTATACAAATGTGTGTTTGTGTGTTTGTGTTTTAGTTTGCCCACGTGTTTTAGTGTTTGTGCTTGGATTTGTGCGCATTTTGTTGATAGTTGGGATTATTTTGGGGGCAATTTATGCAACACAAGGCGAAAGCTTTCGTTGACCCCTTGTTGGTTGTTGGTTGTCACCGCTTCTGTATGCATTTGGGCTTAAATTGAGCAACAATAAAGTTTTGGCCACAGCACACACACAAGAAATAAAGAACGAAGGCAGCAGCCCCAAAAAAAAAAGCCAGTGAAAATAAGAGAAATACTCCAGACCTAAACCATATCTCTCTATTTCCCCTTTTCTTTTCGCAGATACAAATATTCGGATACAATTCCCAGCTGTATGCAAATTTCTCAGATGCCCTCAATCGCGCTCAAGGCATTGTGGGCGTCTCCATTCTGCTGCAGGTAAGTAATCCCCAAAGGCACTCCAAAATTATGAGCATTAAATAAAACAAAAAGCGATTATAAGTACGATAATTTAACGACTTTTATCATGGACTTTTGAGTGCTGTTAATATAGGAACGAATATAAAATGTATTTTAGGTATTTTTTGTTTCTATTTGAAAAGGAAACTTGATGCTTGTATTCAGAAATTCATCCCTTGATTCAAACTACAATTGTTTCCATTTAATTTGAGTTAAAGTAATACCTTTTGAAATTCCAAAAATCAACTCTATATTCAAACTACAATGGTTTCTGCTTAATTAATTTTTAGTATTTACTATTACGTACATTAAAAGGTTTATAAAATTTGAGAAGCTTTAAAAAGATTCTTGGAGGATTTTACTGTAACATTATTTTCTAAATAAATGGATATCTAAATATGAATGTATTTCTATAGCTTGGTGACCTTTCGAACCCGGAGCTGCGCATGCTCACCGATCAGCTGGAGCGCATTCGCTATGGCGGCGACGAGGCCTTTGTGAAGCGACTCTCCATTCGCGGACTGCTGCCGGATACGGATCACTATATGACCTACGATGGATCGACAACGGCGCCGGCCTGCCACGAAACAGTCACTTGGGTGGTGCTCAACAAGCCCATCTACATTACAAAGCAACAGGTTCGTAAATCATTATCTAAAAATCGAAACAAACATTTTATTACCTTGCTAAAAACATTATTATTATCATAAAGAAGTTACTTAAATGTAACTAGTATAGCGCAAAAGTATGCTAAAAAAAATGTTAAATTTCAAATAATCTTGGCTGAATTTTATGCTTGAGAAACTAACTTGTTTTGTTTTATTTTTAAGATTGTTTAGGGTTCAGTTCCACCCAAAAACATTTATTTTTTAACCTAAATAACTATTTTGTTTGTAGAAGACTAAGTCGTTGACTAATCCCAGAACAAAGTAAAAGTCAGTAAGTAATTTTCATTTTTTCCAACCGAATTCATCAAGTTGCTCCCCCCACCGACCCCAAAAACAAAAAAGAAAAATAGAAAACATTTTGAGCGATGAGCACCTTAATGTTTGTTAATTAGTATACAGTGCTCCGATGTTCGTAGTGCGTAGTCCGTAGTCCGCTGCTCCTTCTGTTTTATTAGCTAATTTCATTTAAGTTTTAAATTGAGTTGCTGCTGGAGGAGCAACAAAGTGGATAGTGTCCATAACTCAAAGGAAAAGGCGAGGAGCAGAAACAGAGGGAGAAAAAATTTAACACAAATGTTTATTAAGTGCAGCGCTGTAATAAAGACGCCAGCGATGTGGGGGGTTGGGTGGGTTTGAACCCATACCTATAGGTTGCTTGGTTTGGTTTCTCTGGAGCGGTTGAATGGTGGCCAGCGGCATACGTGTAAACAATGTAGGGGACACATACACACACATACACACACATACACAAACATACACAAACATACACATGCATACGCGACTGCAGCAGGCAGACTCATAAAAACTTCAACAAGCTCAATGGCACCCATGGGCACATGATTACAACTTGTGGCAGCCGTGGAGGACTCCGGTCCACGATTCTCCGGTAACGTAATTTACTGCATACCCAGTGAGAGAAAGAGACGGCGAAGGAGTGGCAGAAAGAGATGGCGAGAGAGGAAGTGAGAGAGAGAGCAGACAGCACCTTGCTGGCAAAACATAATTTACCAAATTAAAGTAACACCAGCGGACCGGCAAAAAGAGGGGTGAAATGGCGGGAACTGAAAGCACAGGAAGCTGCGCGACATGAGCTAAAAATTGCAATTAACCCATTAACGTGCGCTCTGTCACGGCCGTAAGGGCAAAAGGGAAGACGATGGGCGACCAAAGGGTTAAGGGTATTCAAACTGAGTCACTGCATTCAAATGGCTTATAACAAGGGTTTTTCTAGGTTTAAGATCACTCTTAAAAGCTGCAAGCTAAAAAGAATAATTAATATAAATAATAATAAAATAAGTAAATAAATTATTATTTAATTAATTATTATTACCTTTACTTAAATAAACTTATTTAAAAGTTTTGAAATCTCTTTATATTGTAGAATTTCCAAATATACTAGCACAACTCTAAAATTGGTTATGGTTTGAAAGGAATTTAACTTTTGGAGTATTTCTAAATCAATACATCTTTATTTCTTTTTTAAATTTAGGCACTTAGACACTTTTTTAAACACCTAAAATCCCTAGAGATTTTTGTAGAATTGCAAAATATACTTATACAACATAAAAATGGGTTTTTCACGAAACACTTTCAAATATTTCATGATTAATAGTCATTTAACATATGGTATATATTTCTGGTTAAAAATATCTGTAAAGTAAATACTCTCGCTTTAACTTTAAAATTGGAATCTATCTTAAATATTCCCTGGGTTAATAATCATATATCTTATTGCATATATTTCTAATTGAATATATCTTATATCTTATTTTAATAATACTTCTAGACACTTTTTTGAGTGACTTTCAGCCTCTAGAGATTTTTGTATCAATCAAAAAAATAAAACTTTAAATATTAGTGTGCAATGAAAATCAGTCAAATATTCCATTTGCCAACAGTCCAATTTCAACATATATTGTATTCCCAGTTGAGTGTCTCTTAATTTCTGTTTTAAATTCAGGCTAAGACCATCACATGTTTTTGGCTTAAAATCTTTATTTTAAAACCACAATCGAGTCGGAAGCGGGGCCTTAATCCTTGAGTGCCATTTAGTGTTGCATACTTTCGGGAGAGCCACACACACACACACGTATGCCCTACTTAATTCACACTTGAACGGGCACTCCTGCTTGCCACCCATTGAATCCTTAACCCTCTGAAGCCCCCCGCTCTCTTCAATCATCAACATCAGCACGGCCAACGTTGTCGTGAAAAGCGATTTTGACGGAAGTCAATTGATAAACAGATTGAGTAGATTAAGTGTTATTGACTCGTTGTTGTTGTTTATGTTGTTGTCGTTGCTATCGTCTCATCGATACTTTTAACTGTATGTGTGTGTGGGTGTGTGTTTGTATCCTTTGCGGTTTCATATTTTCGAGTTTGTTTTTTGTTTAGCAAGTGCTTATTTTTAGGATTTGCAATTTGTGTCAAGCTTGATTTTTCGCAAAGTGCGGATCGATGGACGTTGTGTTGTGTGTTGTGTGTGCGGAAAAGTTTATAATTATGCACGTTAAAGGCTTCACAGACTAACTGTAGGCGGATGGATGGATAGTTGGGCCCTCCAGCTTATCTATAGTACATCGGTGGATTGGCTTATTGTCGAGCCATTGTTGATCTACTTCCGTGTCTCGAGGATGTACAAAGAATGGCAGTAAGCACTTCACAACTTCTAATTACCCTTAAGGGAATGCAACAAGAATGGATACCAAAAGTCCCTTAATATTATACTCTGAAGGAAAAATAATAGAACTAATGGAAAACTAAGCCTATGCATTTTTTGGTGTTTGATTTTAATTTAATAATAAATATAAATGCTTTGTTTTTTTTTGTTTTAAAGAAAAACTTAATAAAACTAAGTCATTGCATGCCTACAAACTACTTTCAAAGTATATTACTCATACGCAGTGTAGGCAATTTGTTATTTGACATGGCAGCATACGTGACGTATGAGTAATTATTATTTTGAGGAATCTTGAAAGCCATGTTGCAGGGCCTAATATAATTAATTTGAAAACATGTTTCATGTACTTTATTTAAAAAACGGAACACAGAACTTAATTAATGTAACATATTTAAATGTAAACACCTTTTGACTTATGTTTACAGCTGCATGCCCTGCGCCGCCTGATGCAGGGCAGTCCCGACCACCCGAAGGCGCCCCTGGGCAACAATTACCGGCCGCCCCAGCCGCTCCTGCACCGCCCCATCCGTACCAACATTGATTTCAAGTCGACGAAGACGAACGGCAAGGCCGCCTGCCCCACCATGTACCGCGAGGTCTACTACAAAGGTGCGTATTGCTAATGATTTAAATATATATTAAGAATAAATCCTTAGAAACTAAAGCTAAAGCTTCAAGGCAACAAAATAAACAATGTAAACGGAAGCATGAAATAGGAATTTTCAAATAATTTTTATTTTGTATTTCTTGTACTATAATACCATTATTTGAAATACTTCATTTAAATATATTTAGTAAAGAATGGTTAAATGGTATTTTAGGCCATATTTAAAATAACAAAATAATAGCATGTGCTAGAACTAAAACAAAGCCATTTTAAAATAAAAATAGAGACATGGTGTATTTAAAAAAAGTCTAGACATTGTACGATCAAGCAAAAACACCTCCTAACGAGGTTAAAAAGTCGTTAGCATCGCACATTCAAACATAGAAAATTTCTGGTATCAAATTTTGTGACCAAAAATGATTAGATCTTTTTCTAGCTACTTTCCCGACAAACTAGCTAGTTTGTGTAGAAAATGAACCCTTTTCCAGCTGATTTTCGGCCAAACTAGCTACTTTTTGTACAAAGTTTAACCTTTTCTAGCTAGTTTTTCATAAAGTCGTAGAACTAACCAAACACATCATAAATAATGTAAGGATCCTTAATACAGCCATACATTTTATTTAAACCGTCAAAAAGGGGCCTAAATTTTAATTTTTAAAAATCCAGAAACATGTATTTTACTAATAACTTTTGAACGGAACATCCGATCCAAAAGAATTTGGTATCTTTCGAAGCGTACTTTAAACTAGAATGAAACTAGGCTATCAATAAAAGTGGATCATTTTACTTAACCATGCTCTTTTTAAGAAATATATTAATTAAATAATAATTGATTAAAGAAGAGATTTTCAAAAGAAAAACAAAAGTTTGACTAATAATTTATAAATCAACTTTAATGCTTTGAAATGTGTTTTTAAAAATAAATGATTTAATTGACTTAGCTTATTTTTAAGATCATACATTTATAGTATTTAGAAACTAAAGTTCATGCTATGAATTCTACATTTTAATCTAAATCATTTAATTGACTTTACTTATATTTAAGAGCATTAGTTTGAAGTATTGTCTAAATTCTTTTATAATCTTCTACTTTTATTGACCTTTCGCAGCGACCAGTTGGAAACAAAACTAAAAGTCAGTGACGTGATGGCGCAGCGTAACGCATCGTAAGCGTATGACGTAAGTAGCGAGCGGCGTGCAACAGGAGCTTCCACTAAACATACATATACACGAAAAGGACACGGAAAGGATGCAGTAAATTGCAAGGCAGAAATTATGGAGGACATGAAAGAACATGACCACATTGGAATCAGCGCAGCAGCAGTGGCCAAAATTGGCGGTCGCAAATACACATATACATATATACATATAAATAGGCAGAGAAATAACAAAGAAATAATATGGATAGCGATTACGATTACGATAACTAGCATTAAATGTGCATTTTTTTGTCTCCCCCCAAAAAAAAATCAATCAGAGGTTACTTTTTTTTTGTGTGTGTGCGTAGCGTAAGTACAATAACGATAGCAATAGCGATGACTAGTATCTATAATTACCCACAATTCCATTAAGGCCATTTGTTAAACCAAAAAAATACTGTATATTTTCAGGTTGGGATGGTGAAAAGATCAAAATAATATACAGAATACGAGGCATTAAGCAAAACCCACCCAAAAAAGACAGACTTTAATTCACGACCATATCGGTGGATATATAAAAAAAATTTGCTTATGCCCCCCAAAAATGTGTATAGAGCGGCCTCAGCTTGTGTGTTTGTGTGTGAATTAGCTAATAACATTAACAATAATCAAGTGCTAATCTATATGAGCACATCGATGTGAAAAAATTACCACAACTCCATAAATATTTATTGCCGAATCGAATTAACGATTCATTTTTGTCATGGTTTTTAAGTTTCAGTCTAATACTCATAATGAGCGTGTATAATTATAGCATTTTTAGTTCTTGACATTTAATCAAAAAAAATAAATATTTGCTTTTCACCAACAACAAGATAAACATTTATATTTTTATTATATTTATCTTGTCGATTCAAAAAACTAAAAAACTATTTAGCACAAGGCGATGTTAAATTTACTGGTAAAAGAAGAAAAAATGCTTTGCTCTAATTACTTAATTTTTACCTGCTTATATACATTTATATTTATATTGTTGATTCAATGATTCAATCTGTAATGTCAAATGGATGGTTACATTTTTCTATGGGAAAACATTATAAGAGCAGGCTTTATTTTTAAACTTATAATGTTAAGTGCAAGGTTACAATTTTTAATGGAATTTTTATTAAGCAAAAGGCAAGCTATATATATACATATTTGTTTTACAATTTAAGCTTGATGAATTTGTATTGGGTCAAACAAATTCCCCGGGGACAAACATGCTCGCACATTTAATTGCAATTTTAAAATTATGAATTTGGGCATTTTTAATACGTATGGTAATCCCGATGTGGAGGCACTGCCGCAAATGCGTGCATTTTGCATTTTAAATGCACTTGACCGCAGCATCCACTGCTTGTGTAACCGGGGGACCTTATCGAAACCAACTCAACCAGGATTCACCCGCCATTCATCCCCCATTCACCCCTGATTCAGGAGGGGGATGTCGGGCTGTCGCTTATCGAACGGCAAATGCAACATGAAACCACAAAATCTGTTGCGGTTATTTAAAATCACGTTTAAATGCGAAAGTGCTGGCTGTCTCTCGCTTCGCTTGCGAATTTTGGCCAGCATAAAAATCAACTTTTCTCTGGCCGAAAGGAAAATGATTACGTATACGCCGCGTGGCACAGGGACACATAGTTGAGAACTGTGGCATATCAGTTTTTTTTGTTTTTCATCTGACCCTTCTAAATTTCCCCCAGCAAAATCACATAATAATTTGTATAAATATTTGCATTATTTGCACAAGTTGGCATTTTTGCAGTTGTTTTTGTGTAAACCGGCATTCAACTGAAACTTTTCAAGCTCTTTGTTTCATTTAGTTGCTGTTCAGTTTATGCATTGTTTTTTTTTTTTTTTTTTTTTTTCATTGTTTTGTTTGGGCTTGTGCATCGAGGGATTTGCCATTGGGAAATTATGACTTAAATTAATACATGGCAAGTGTAATTTATTTGAACGAATCAAGCGGCAGCTGCTGCCGCCGTCTGATACCCTGCAATTTTTGGGGGGTCTTTGAAGAATATGTGGCTTTAAAGCTAATTTATTATTGTTTTTTTTTTGATTAAATATAAAAAAGCTAAATTTAAAAATCTAAAAAAATAGGTCAAAACTAATTTAAAACCAACTAAAATCTTAAAAAAGGGTTTTGAATAAAGTATATAAAATACTGAAAATTAAAGGGGGCTTATTTATTTGTATATTTTTATTGACTGAAATAAAAAAGCTCTATTTAAAAATGTACAAAATAATTCAACACTTTCTCATAAAAAACCAAAAAAAAACAAAATTTAAAAAATCTATTTAGGGGCATGTTTGTTCTTTTTTTTTATTGAAAATGGCTTAATTTTATTAATATTAATAAATTGGTCTAAATTTAGAATACTTTTACACACCTTTAGATGGGTTTTTGCTTAGATACATTTTTTGCAGGGTATGTAAAATTCCCAAGAGCCACTCTGGTGACCTAATTAGCCCGTCCAGGGCATGCTTCGGTCCATCAGTTTATTTGCAACAAACTCAATTCCAACTTTGGCTGACTTTCAATCAATCAAATGGTTTGGGTTCGGGTTTTGGGTTTTGAACGAGGCGGTGCAACTCTGGCCAAACTGATTTGCGGTGAGTTGTTCTGCACGAAGTTATGTTGCAGCCAAAGGGGGCGGCTGGCAGAGGGGGCGTGGCATGACCACTGAATCTGGCCAGATGGGGCTTACCCGACACATATACATATATATATTGGCAGTCAGTGAGCTAGTGACAACCGCAGACTCCGTATGTTGATTGCAAAATGCAGGTAAAATTAACTCATTTTTTAAGATAACAAGTGGCTTAAGTCTCTTTAATAAATTTATTTTCAATGCCCCTGTAAAGGGTATCCACACGCTGTTGCATATTTTTCATTCCATTTTTTCGCAGCCATAAAAATTGCGGCGAAAAGATTTATATATATTCGAAGCTGGAGTATTTGTTTACATCATTTCATTTTCATGCATATTCTGTATGCGATTGCAGTTGGCCATTTCGGCTATTGGCCATTTTGGTGATTATTTTTAATACATTGAAGTTGTGGTGGTGGGTAGTGGGTGGTAAACTGATGGATGGGGGGATTATTCCAGAGCCAGATAAAAGACAACATCGATCATGACAGCCATTCAGAGCAGACCTGCAAATATTGCAATTTGAAAAAGTGACAAATTCGCTGCCATTTATTTTACTGTGGAAATAAGCTTTAAAATATGTGAAAATTCGTCCGCGCATTGTCCTGTAAAAAATGCCCATAAAATGCCCATTAAATATAGGTGCTTAATAAATATATAAAAAATAAACAACCAAAATCAGTTAAAGTAATTTATTTTTATCTATAAAATATTGAAGACAATTTAAGTGATTTGGATTAACAATTACTTAAACTGATTTATGTAATGAAAACAATCATTTTACTTTATAGTGTAATATTTTTTTGTAGCTAGCTTAAATTTGGGTAACCAATATATTATTTTGAAATACTTTTTGTGTTCTATATAAACATTAATGATTTAATATTAGAATTTTATTAGTTGATGTATATTTTTGCTACAAATTGGTATGTATTATTATTATTATTATTTTTCTGCTTTTCGATTGTGTGTTTTATTTAAATTGTAATCATAATAATATTTGTAAATTCCCTATCATATTTGATTTTGTGTTTTATTTAATCTACAAATAATTTGAATTCCCTATTACATAAATACATACATTGTATATGGAATGAAAATTTCCATGAATTCGCCATTTTCCCATTATCTAATTCGACTTTTTTTTTCTACGCCCAAAAAATGTGTAAAATGTTGCAATATTTTTATGAGCAGCCATCAAAAGCCTTGAAATTGCAGTGTCAGCGGATTAAAGCTGCATGGGGAATTAAGTATTGCACAGATACAAAACATAGTTGCCCATAGTTGCTTCCGACCTACATCGTTCTCATTCTCGTTCTTGTTTTCAAAACCCGAACCTGGGAGATGAGCAAGGCCAAACCACTTTACCTCGGTCGGTGACTGGTTATGCAAATGGCCCCCCTTAAATAACACAACCTAGCCATAACCCCCATTGCGTATATCGCCGCTGTCCACACAAGACTAATTAAATTATGGAAATTAAATTGAATCGAGCATATTTGTTGTTTGCAGTTCATAAATTGCGCTGCTAAAATGTCCGGAGCAGCTAATGTTCCGCCCCTTCGGCCGTGACGGCATGTAAATCATTTCACAATAAAACGCATAGCACAGCAGCAACAGCAACTGCACAGCAGCAACATGCACGGCAGCAACACACTTAATTATGACATCATTAATTTTTAATAATGACAATTTTGCGACAATAAATCACTTAACTAACACAAATGCGCCCAGCAATATGCATGAAATTAGTAAACTTTAAACAATGCCATGTGCGTGAGGGGGTGTTAGGGGGTGCTAAGGGTCATCAGAGGGCATTGGGGGGTTAAAAGGGGCATCGCTGGGTAAGCAAATAAACAGATTGACTGTCCCCATTGCCTTGTCCTGGCATTGACTGATGGCAGCCAACCCGAGGATGCGAGGATGTTGCTGTGGGGCTGCTGGGCAACTGCAATTGCAATCGGTGAGTGCCGTGCCGTGCCGTGCATGGGATGAATTTAATTAATCTCGCTACCGTCAGTTGCACACAATTGCAATTAACTTGCAACACTCGCATAATTACAGGCGACCTCATGTTTTGCTACTTATCAGCATCAACATTGACCCAGCGACAGCAACAGCCAGCGGCATTCGCCACAAACAGTGATGGCACCATGCGATACCCTGTAAACCAACCCTATTAATATGTACTTCCCAAAAGCTTCAAAATGTGCAAGTTTATCTAAAACAAAGCTTGTTAGTATATGAACATTTTATTTAAAGTTATGTTTACTGATTAATTTTTTTGAATTTATATAGCATGTCTTATTGGTTATTGAAACATCACCCAAATACAAATTTTTTATACACCTGAGCACCTAAACTATTAATTCTTGTTGGATGTCGAAGAAACAATTTCTTCACCGTTTTCGATTTCGATTTTCGATAAGAGCTCATATAGCTCATAATATTTTGCAAAAATGTACCAAAAACGAACATTTTTAGCTGTAAATGCCATTCAATTGGAAATCTTATGACGAATTCAACGATGCATGGCATTCCAACTTTGACCATTACTTCCAAGGATTTTTAAACAAAAACCGATATTTTTAGAGAGTTTTTCTAATTTTCGAGAGTTGTAAGAAAAGACACATTTCTTAAGAGTCTTTTTATCGTAACTTGGCCAAAATAATGGGCACAGACATACAAGTTACAGTTTTTTGCAGCTGAAGACCTATTCTATTCATCCGTGGTCGATTTTGAAAATTTCTGAAAATTTAATTTTATGGCCAATTTTCGCATTTTTAATAAGGGGGTACTTCATCATTTTTGGCGAAAATATGAAAAATGGAAAACATTTTAGCTGTGAATGCCATTCGATTGGAAATTTTATTACGAATTCAACGGTGTATGACATTCCAACCTTTGACTATTACTTCCCAGGGTTTTGACAAAAAAACCAAGTTTTTAATGTGTTTTTTGGGATTTTTGGCGATTTTTCAAACAAACTTATTTTTGAAGAGTCTTTTTGTTGTAACTTTGCCAAAATAAGACCCTAAGTCAAAAGAGTTGCTATTTTGAACAGCTGGCAACCTATGCCATCCATCCCTGATCGATTGAAAACAATTAATTTAGTTTTAACAAAAAAAACGAATTTTGAAAAACGTTTTTTGATGAATTTATTTATGTCCAAATTTCCGACTTTTTTGTAAGGGGGTATATCATCATTTTTTGCAGAAATTTGACAATCTGAAAATATTTTAACTTTGAATGCCATTCGATTGGAAATTTTATTACGAATTCAACGGTGTATGACATTCCAACATTTGACCATTATTTCCCAGGGTTTTGATACAAAACCGACTTTGAAAGTGTTTTTTTTTTTTTTTTTTTGGGTTTCGATACAAAAACCGATTTTTCAATGCCTTGTTTTGGGTTGTTGTAGATATGCCTAGTTTTTTTTGCTTCTTTCCTTTAAAAATATTAAGCTCTGTAACTAGCTTAAAATGTTTTAAAACTGTTAGAAATTTTTGACTTTCTCCAGTAGTTTATACTCCTTTTTGTGGTTTTTTAGAGGGCATAACGGGCGACAAGCTTGCTCTGACACATGGCCCACTCTCCATATCTTTCCCTCTCTGTCTGCCTGTCTATCTGTCTCATCATCTATCCATGTACATATGTGTGTGAGGGTGTGTGAGTGTGTGTGTGTGGGCAGTGGTTGGCTCATTGGTCATTTGGTTGCAGCTCGGTTGGTGTTAGCGGTTGCTCGTCATCGTCATCATCAAGCTGTGTTGCTGCTGTTGTTGTTGTTGTTGCCGATGTTGTTGTTGCTGCTGCATCCGACTGATTGCAAATGTTGTTGTTTGTTAATGCCTGTAGTGCACAAAGCTGCAGCCTTGTGGTCAAGTGAGGCACCTGCCGCAGTCGCAACATCACCATTTGCCACCCATTTCAACCACCACCCACCGCATCGCCACCCCGCCAATGTCACTGCAAATTAACATTTTGTAACGCGTTTCGGTTGCTGCCGTGTTTTCATTTCACACTTTGCCCGAGTGTGTGTGTGTGTGTGTGTGTGACATGCATTTGACACAGGAACTGGACAAGGCAATTGCCCAGGAACCAATTGCCCACATCCATCCAACAACACCACCCACCAACCAACACCCACTCTTGTGGCAAATTTGTTGTATTTGCGCCTGATTGCCAAATCAAATATTTGGCCCACACAGCTAAAAATAAAACACCACAGTGGTCTAAGATTTTAAGTTGCAAAAGTTATAAAATAAATATGAAATATAACAAATATAATAATTTGAAACTTTAAATTAATGTTTAAGTTCGTTTTTTCGAATTAGACTGCCAAACTATTTTATTTAAAAAACCATTCATATATTAGTTAAAGCAAGCAGCAGCATATGTATTATATTATTTTGAATTTTGTAAAATTTCAATTT